AATCAGACAATTAGAACCAATCTACATTTTCATCTCTCATGTGAGAGTATCTGGAAGGTTTCTATTCAGAGATCTGTACAGATTTATATTTAGGAAATATTGCTCTAGTGGGAGTCTGAAGACCATTTAGCTGTTAGTTGGTGACATTTTGAATTGAGAAAGCTCATCTTTGTTGTCTCTGCTTTAGTACGTACGCCCAGTACTTAAAGGACAGAATGCTTGACACATAGGCACTCAACAAGTTAGCAGGTCTAAACATTTCCAAGGCTTTTTTTTTTTTTAACTTACCCTGGCTGTTGAATTTTTCAGTAGTTCCATGATGTTAACAAGTCTAAAGCCATCAGTTTAGTAATTTTCCCCCTATGTGTTTGGAACTCCATTGTTGAGAGATCAGTGAGCTGTGATTATTATAATAGTAGCTGTAGCTCTGGTTCTCCCTTTTGCTGAATTCTTAAGGCCAGAACTCTTCTAATCGTGGCAGCTCTAGGGCGCCATTTTAGTAGCAAGAGAAATGTGCAGCAGGAGAAATTAGTTACACAGAACCTATTCAAAAGTTGCACATCATTGACTATTGCTTATATGCCTTCCGTTTTGCAAATGCAGACATAAGCCCTAGAGAGATGTCAAACCCATGTGCCTATTCAACACCATTAACTTATTACAGTAGATTTTTTTGTCTGATCAGTAAAATCTATATGTTTTTTAAAATGCTCATTAATTTCATTGTGCATAGTGGTTACACATTAATTTTAATATTGTTTAGTACTACCTGAGCTCACTCTTAGTCTCCTCTTGAATATATTCATTCAGCTGCAACCTCATTTCTTTTTTTATTTATTTTTATTGGAAAGGCGGATGTACAGAGAGGAGAGACACAGAGGAAGATCTTCCATCCCATGGTTCACTCCCCAAGGGACTGCAACAGTTGGACCTAAGCCAATCTGAGGCCAGGAGACTCCTCCGGTCTCCCATGTGGGTGCAGGACCCCAAGGCTTTGAGCCGTCCTCTGCTGCTTTCCCAGGCCACAAGCAGGAGCTGGATGGGAAGCGGGACTGCCAGGATTAGAACCGGCGGCCATATGGGATCCTGGCACATTCAAGGCAAGGACCATAACTGCTAGGCTACTGTGCTGGGCCCGCAACCTCATTTTTGTGTTGGCCCAATCACTACCAGTATGTATCGGTTAATAATCTTTTTTGTTTTTGTAATTGTTTGGAATATTGCCTCTCAACATCTCTTTCCATTTTCAGTTTCAAAATTGCATCTTTAAAATTTTCTCCTCAGTTTCCACAGTAAATTGAACAGGGTTTGGGGGCCTGTTGGGTGATTGGCCATGATTAATGTCTGTTGAGCAGTTGGCTTCTCTTTGCAAGTATGATGGATTTAAGTACCCTGGCCCTATGACAGCAATTCCAGATGCCATGAAATTCAAGCAACACCATCCAGCCTTATGGCCCCAGGCCTTCTTTCTGTGTGTAGGGTGGAGATGTTTAGGCATAGTGGCAGGGTGGGAATGCGTATAGCAGAGAAGACCCCAGTGCGGGTTTAGATAGTGCATTTTCCAAGAATATTTTGAGATAGATAAAGGAAGCTGCTTGGAAAAAATGATATATTCTAGAAGGCTGAAATTGGGTCCATTTCACTACAGTAACTATATACCATCCTTCCATTTTACATTGTATACTCAAGTATGTAAAATAAAACTTTAAAAAAAAAAAAACCAGAATATTGGCTCCAGGATTAAATTTCTTTCTTCCTTAGAAAAGATTAATTTATTTTTTTAAAGGGCAGAATTAGAGAGGGAGAGTCAGAGATCACTCCCCAAATTGCCTCAACAGCTGGAACTTGGCCAAACCAAAGCCAGGAACCAAGAGCTTTATCCAGGTCTCCCACCTGGATGGCAGGTTTTTTTTGTTTGTTTGTTTGTTTTACCCTAGGCACACTGGCAGGGAGTTGGATTAAACTGAAATAGCAGGGGCACATGCCTGCACCTGTATGGGATGCCAGCACTGCAGGCAATGGTTTTACTTACTGTGCTGTAATGCAGTTCCCCAGATTTTTTTCTTTCTGACATTCAGTGAGTCTTGGTTCCGACATTTTTGGACAAGTCATATTCCTGTTCGAACAGATGCATTCTGTGGTGCTCTGCAGGGTTGATATGTGAGTGAATGGGTTAGCAGTCCCTTGTCAGTGAAGCTGAATGGGAAATGATGCCAGAAACCTCGTTGTGAACTTTGTTCTCCCTTACAGTTCTCTTATTACCATCCCTTCATGTGCTAGCCACCGTGAGGTGGGTGTTACAGGTGAGAGGCTTAGGGAGTGTGTATGTTTCATATAGGTGGTCATTGATGGAACTGAGTTCAAATAGAATTCTGCTGGCTGCAGATTGTTCTTTTAGTAACCATGACATTTCTCCAAATAACATTTTCAGCTGTATAAGTAACTTGTGGCACCTACAGTCATTGGTGAACCTAGTAGTTCAGAACTCGATGAGTCTCTGGGATAGAGCAGCCACTGTTTTATTATGAAAATGTGTTTTGCAGGAAGGATGGCAGGTGGGGGACAGTGGTGGCAGATGGGGACCAGAGGAGGCTCTCCCCTGACTTCTCATGAACATGTGGTTGCCTGAGTTTCTATGGTGGACCTTATCGGTGTCCTCAGAGCGTCTGGTCTTGGTCTTGAATTCTTCAAAGCAAGACCTGGGGACCAAGTCTTGACAGTGGTTTAAATGATTGAGAATTGCCTTCTTCATAGGAACTGCCAGGAAGCAAACAAGATAACTTTTCAAGCTAAATTTTTTAGAGATTAGTTTGTTTTCATTATCTGAAAATCAGAGAGAGAAAGAGAGAGAGAGAGATACCTTCCATCTGCTGGTTCACTCCCAAAATACTTGTAATATTTTGGTTGGGCCATGTTGAAGCTGGGAGCTGGAGCCCAAGCCAGGTTTCCTGTATGGGTAGTGGGAACCAGGCACTTGAACCCTCAAGTGTAGACTCCTGCGGTGACTATGAGCAGGAAACTGGACTTGGCAGCAAAGCCAGTGCCTCTTGGAAAGGATCGCAGGCACTCTGACCTGGGCTGCAGCACCCCAAGCCAGGGGCTAAACACCTGCCTCTACAGCCAGCTTTTAAGGGGGTTTGATTTGATTTTGTTAGCAAGCAAATACATTTTAAGTATCTTATCATGAGTCGTAAACTCTACAACCTAGAGCAAAAAAAAAAAAATGGTAAGAAACATGAAATATTAACTTCGGATTTACTTTTAATCTTGAGCTACTCAGATCTTTTTTTTTCTTTTTTATTGATTACATTGCATTATGTGACACAGTTTTGTAGGCACTGGGATTCCCCCTCTCCCCAAACCACCTCCCCATGGTGGATTCCTCCACCTTGTTGCATTATCACAGTTCAAATTCAGTTGGCTATTCAGATCTTATCAAAGTTTCTTTATGAAAACTGTAACACTGCACTACACAAAAACAAGTATGTGAATCATTTGTGTGTTTATCAGCTATATAGCAGACCAGTGATGCAAGTCCAACTGGGCATTTGAAGGTACTGAAGATCTTTTCAAGAGATAAATCCAAGGCTATCAAGATAATAGCAGTAAGATATTGGGATAGCATTTCAGGCAGAGAACACCATCTGGTGGTGATAAGGAGGATGTGAGCCCTGTGTATGTCGTAATTGCTATAGTAAATGAACAATATCGTCAAAAATACTGTTTTATTTATAATACTTGTAAATTCAAACTACTGGGAATGATTGGGGGGGGCATGTAATTCAAGCATTCTTTCATTAAGGCCTCTTCATAGCCTGTGGACTAACAAAATAATTGCCTGTGTCCCACAGAACTGAAGTCTTGTGCCCTTTTTGTTGTTTCGAATGTGGATGTGGTTTATTGCTGCAGAAAATCAATTGGTGTCCTCTCACCACTTTTTTACAACCTCCAGTTCTGATGTCATGCTTGCTTTGTGTGGTAAATTTCTGCCTCATGGCGTGTTGGAGGAGGAAGTGTTTCTGGTGTCTTAGTCAGTCTTTAGCAGGTGTCATGTGAAAGTAAGTCACTCTTTTCCTAGACAACAGTTATGAAGCAGAATTTGATAGTTTTCCAGCATGATTATGAGAGTGAGCCAAGTTGGCAGAGAGCAGAAAATCTGTAAAGATTCTTCATTAAAATTCCTGAGATGTTTCCTTTGTTGCAATAGGTATCTTTATTTTTATAACAATTATTATTATTGGCAACCTTGAATCTAGATAATTCTACAGTTGAGTAAAGTAAGGACATCAGCCCAAGTTTAAAGGATCCTATTAAGTCAATGTGGATGCATATTTTATAAGTCTAGCGGGGAAGTGAGGATAAACAAAGTTTTTAATTTCAGGTCAAGTCTCAAGCTGGCGTCCCCATCTGTATCTTTTTTCCTAGTAGGAAAACTAAATCCAGGCCCCAACATCATTGCAGGGTCTCTTGGGTGAGGACTGTCCATATAAAGTGCTAGATGTGACATAAATTTAGGAGTTTTCTTTATATGTGATATAGTTTCCAACATCTGTGTTTCAACACTCACCGGTAACTGTAAAAAACTGTTCTAAGCACGCATATTATATACTTCCACTAAAATGTCCAGAATTGGAAAATCCATAGAGATGGAAAATAGATTTGTGGTTGTCAGTGGTTGAAAGGAAGGGATTTGGAGGGAATGGAAAATATCTGAAAATGGGTTTTGGATTTCGTTTGGAGTGATTAAAATGTTCTGGAATTAGGTAGTGGTTATCCTTACACAAAAAATTTAAAAAATTTAATCTCGAAAAAATTAAAATAACAATAGCAAAAAAAGAAACCTCAATCCGTGGAGCAATGAACAGAGTTAATTAAAAAATGACTATGTCAGCCTTCTTTCACTTCAGTTCTAGTAGAAATGTCAAACTAGCGATCACTGCTTGGACCTTGAATGTCATTGTAACTTGTGTTTGTTTTTACCCTGTCCCTCTGCTTCCCAGGGCCACGATGGGCCTCCTGGAACATCGGTGTGTTCATCTGCATTCGGTGTGCTGGGATCCACAGGAACCTGGGGGTGCACATATCCAGGGTAAAGTCAGTTAACCTCGACCAATGGACTCAAGAACAGATTCAGGTACTTCTGCAGTCCAAGAAAGTCAGCCACTCCCATGTAATCTTGTAAAAATAGTTCTGAGGAAACTTCAGTCAAACGAGGCACAAAAGAGAAGGTGAAGGAAAGTTTAGTTCTTACATTAAATTCTCATATCTTAAGAGAGAAACATTTTAACCTTTCTATTTAAGACACAAGATATTGTATCTGTATTTTATCTGCTTCGAAACACAAATCATGGACCCAGCGCGATGGTGTAGTGGTTAAGGTCCTCGCCTTGCACTCCTGGGATCCCATATGGGCGCCGGTTCTAATCCCAGCAGCCCTGCTTCCCATCCAGCTCCCCGCCTGTAGCCCGGGAAGGCAGTCGTGGACGGCCCAAAGCTTTGGGACCCTGCACCCGCGTGGGAGGCCTGGAAGAGGCTCCTGGCTTCAGATTGGCTCAGATCCAGCTGTTGCGGCTGCTTAGGGAGTGAATCATCGGACAGAAGATCTTCCTCTGTGTCTTTCCAATAAAAATAAATAAATAAATAAATAAATAAATAAATAAATAAATAAATAAAACAAATAAGAGTTCCAGAGCTTTAAAAAACAAAAAACAAAACAAAAAAACCCACAAATCATCTGTGGTCTAGGACCCCATGTGTCCAAGGTGAAAGTAAGAGGAATCTTAAGGGCTATTTCGTAGTACCCTTGGCTTTTGCAGATCTAATGTTTGTAGTTTTAAAGATTTATTTTATTTTCATTGGAAAGGCAGATTTTAGGGAGAGAAGGAGAGACAGCCAGAAAGATCCTCTCATCTGCTGGTTCACCCACCAAAATAGCCTCAATGGCTTGAGCTGAAGCAAACTGAAACCAAGAACCAGGAGCCTCTTCTGGGTCTCCCACATGGGAGCAGGGTCCCAAGGCTTTGGGCCATTCTTCACTGCTTTCTCCGGCCACAAGCAGGGAGCTGGATGTAACGTGGAACAGCCAGAACATGAACTGGCACCTTTATGGGATGCCAGTGCTTGTAGGCAAAAGATTATTAGCCAATTGAGCCATTGTACTGACCCATTTTTTTTTTGGAAGATTTATTTTTATTGGAAAGGCAGATTTTATGGAGAAGAAGAGATAGAAAGATTGAGTTTTATATATTCAAAAAATTAGCTTTCAAATCAGAGTTGGGATAATATGATTAAGAAGCATATATAAGTCTCGCTTGCTATTAGCAAGGTGGGCTGGATTTAAGACACTTAAGTGAATCTGTCTAGCTTAAGTTCTGTATCTTGGTATAGCTTCCTTGTTATTTATTTTTGACCTACATTGAGATGTTTTCAAAAAAATTTTTATCTTTTTTGTGAGGAAGAATGGAGGTCTCAAACATTTACTAAAATTGACGATAAAATTGGGAAATATATTTAATTAGAAATTACTTTAGAAGTTACTGGAGACTGTAAATTCATTAAGTCTAAAAGGAAGACGTACATTTTCCAGTTACAGTTTTGTTTTATGAAGGAAATGATATGCCATAGAGGTTTTGGGAATTTCAAGTTTTAAAAAGCTTAAGGGATTTATTTCTCATAATTGTTAAGGGATCTAATTTCAAAAGCCTAGTTGGAAACATACGTTTATTGATAATAGCATGGAATAAGTTAATTAGTAGTATAAACTTAGAACACTGATTATTGTCTGTCAGGTAGACATTTAGTTTGGTAGCTATAAATGTTGGACATTCAAATAAGATCCTGAATTATTACTGACTTAAGTTGTGTGTTGGCAAATAAATCTTTCGATGAAAGGAATCCATGGATGGGGATAAAAGACAACTATTGGGGAAAATGTGAGTTCCCAGCAGAGTAGAAAGAATCATAGACTGGAAATAAGAATGCATAAATTCAAATTTTGGTTCTTCCATTCTCTAGGTCTGTTTTTTTTTTTTTTTTTTAGTTGTACACTGGTGGAATTGGGTGAGACGTTTTTCATTTATTTCCTGATGTGACATTCTGTGTTTCTATATTCTCTTTGATTGCAGTGCATGCAAGAGATGGGGAATGGAAAGGCCAACCGACTTTACGAAGCCTACCTTCCTGAGACATTTCGGCGACCACAGATAGACCCGTATCTTTTCTGGAACAACCCAAAAGGCAGAGTGGTGTTTAGTATTTGGAGTCAGACAAGCTTCAAGGCCTGTGACTTAACTGGGCTGTCTCTGTTGATTAGTCAAAGTTTTTGCTTTTCCTCTCACCTGCAGCTGAGACATATGAAAAGCACATGTATACTTGCTAATGTTGTATATGCTGTGTAATTGCAGGGAAGACTCACTCAGGAATCAAGATGCCATGATTTCACTGTGAATCTTTCTTTAAAGTGAAACTCCGCTAGTTTTTGGATCTCTGAAACTGTTGTTTGATTTAAAAGGATTTGTTTACATATGCCTTGTTGAAGGCTTGAAGTCAGCAAAACTGCTGTTCATTTTTATTACCTTTTAGTGTCCTGTGTGAAACAAGGAACTGTTGATAACCAGTTGATCAGTAACTTTTTTTTTCCTATTTGCCTTCACCTAATAGACAAAAACAAAACCCCTACTAGTCTTGTGCTTTTCAACATGTAGTGTGTAGATCTTCTTGCTAGAGTTTGCTTTTCTAGTGAAAAAGCAAAACTGATACATATAGCTCTGAGGCCCTGCAGGAGAGCCATGATCAGAATCTGGCAATGGGCTCAAGAGTTGATCTTCTTAAGGGGAACTTAGGTATCTTTTTTTGAGCCTTTTTGACCTAAGGGTTTTCAAATAGATCATTGCCTGTTTCCCCTGAATTCTAGAACAACTGTACACACCTCTGCTATCTATAAAGATTAACCCCACTTGCTACCATCACTCTAAATGGAAATCATAGGAAGTAATTCCCTGCAGTAACCTTGAAGGAGCCATCTTGGTTTTGATCAGAGACAGGCACCAAGTGGGGAAACCAGGCAGGCAGAAAGAGTAATGCTCCATGGAATGAATATAAATTAGGTTTTTGTACTTTTTTTTTTGAAGAGGCTTATTTGATTCATCCTTAATAAGCTTTTGGCAGAGCTGTCGAGGGATTTATCCGAGATAAATACGAAAAGAAGAAATACATGGACCGAAGTCTGGATATCAATGCCTTTAGGGTTGGTTGTAAATCTTTCAAGATTTTTTCATAGTAACTAAAATATTTATTACTTATACCATAGAAAATTTAGAAGAACTGCTACCAAAATACTCCAGGCCACTTTTTAAAATGCCAAGGAAAAAGCCAGTTTTTGTGTCAAGACTGTGAGAGTATGGGTTTTACCCTAGCAATTAAGATACCAAGTAGAATATCCACATCCAATATCTGAGTGTTCAGTTCCTGGCTTCAGCTCCTGATGCCAGCATCCTATTAGTGTACACTCTGGGAGAGGCACATGATTGTTCAAGTGATTAGGTTCCTACCCACGGGGGAGAACTGGAGTTCCTGGTTCCTGGCTTTGGCCCCAGATAATCCCCAGCTATTGTGGGTTTAGGGGGAGTGAATCAGCAAGTGGAAGCTCTCTGTTTTATGTGTCTGAGTTTGTGCCTCTGCCTCTCAAATACATACACACATGCATACAGACATACGAACTGCACTTTTAGAAAAAGACCATCAGAGAACACAGAATAGATTTTTGTCACAGAGATGGATGGGGAAGATCATCAGTCAATTTTTTGGCTTGATCTGAAGATGTGAGTCATTCCAGTGCCATGTTGTTTATTCACATGGGCACACTAGTTATTGTTAATCAAATGGAATAATAATACAAACATGCACACACATACAGACACCCATACACATTTTTTCTATCAATAAGCAAGCCAGCGTTGTCTTCATTCTCATCAGTGTGTATTTCCAGCATTACTTACTGATGGCCTGTATGCTGGGGGACTGACTGCCAGTAGGATTGCTCAGTTCCATCGTACACATGGTCAGAATCTGAAGTACTGTGTGTCACGTCTGGGAGGAAATACATGGTTTCTGGAACAAAATGAAGGAGATCCCAAAATTAGGACTGTTTAGACCTTTGTTTTTTCTTTAAGACTTATTTTATTTATTTGAAAGAATTATAGAGAGAGGGAGAGACAGAGAGAGAAATAGATGTTCATTCCCCATGACAGCCCTTGCTGAAACCCTGCAGCCCAGAACTGTATCTTGTCTCCCTCAGGGGTTCAAGCAGTTGAGCCATCATCTGCTGCTTTCTCGGGTGCATTACTAGGGAGCTGGATTAGAAGAAGAGCAGCTGGGGCTCAAACCAGCATATATATGGGTTAAGTGACAGCTCTAGAGGTAGATAGGAACTCTGTGTGTGTGTGTGTGTGTGTGTGTGTGTGTGAGAGAGAGAGAGGTGAACTGATGATCCCTTAGGAGCCATGCATTCCGTATTGGAGTGCCAGTTCAACTTTCAGCTACTCCTCTTCACATCCAGTTTCCTGCCAGCAGATGATGGCCCAGGTCTTTGGGTTCCTGCCACACAAATGGGGTTCTAGGTAACTGACTTCAGTCTGGCTCAGGCCCAGCTGTTGCAGACATTTGGGGAGTGACTTAGCGAATGCAAAATCTGCCTTTCTGTTTCTCCATCTCTCTTGCTCTCAAACTAACTAAATAAATAATAAGTGAAGACATTTGATATCAAATGAAAGTAAACCAGCTTTGTTTATTAGAGCAGTTTTTTAAGTGAAGCAGTTTTAAGTTTAAGAAATAAAGTGTTCTGTTTAATTGCTGTTCTCTGTGTAACAAAAACATAACTACATTGTGATGGTTGTAAAATGATTTTATAGAAAATGCAAGAATTTGACTGATAAATTCAAAATTTGATAAATTCATGCAATCTCTTTTCATGTTTACTAATGATTATTATCTTGAAGTGTTCCTTCTTTTTCCTTTATAGCTACTTCTAGGACTCATAATATAGTTGTGTAAAATGTCTCCTGTTTTCATTGCCTTTAACATGCCACATAGGTTTATGTTTATATAGGTCTTCATAATTTAAAAAAAATTTTTTTCTTGGGCCCGGCGCGGTGGCGCAGTGGTTAAGGTCCTCGCCTTGCACGCCCGGGATCCCATATGGGCGCCAGTTCTATCCCTGCAGCCCCACTTCCCTTCCAGCTCCCTGCTTGTGGCCCGGGAGAGCAGTTGAGGACGGTCCAAGGCTTTGGGACCCTGCACCCGCGTGGGAGACCCAGAAGAAGCTCCTGGCTTCGGATCGGCATATCATCGGTCGTTGCGCTCACTTGGGGAGTGAATCATTGGACGGAAGATCTTCCTCTCTGTCTCTCCTCTCTGTATATCCGCCTTTCCAATAAATAATAATAATAATAATAATAAATCTTTAAAAAAATGTTGAAAAAAATTTTTTTCTTTTCTTTTGAACTTTGAGAGAGCTGCAGAGAGTACAGACCAGAGAGAGCTCCCATCTACTGATTTATTCCTCATTGCCCACAATAGCTGATGGAGCCAAATCTAGGAGTTGGAAACTCAATCTAGGTCTCCCATTGTAGGAAGCAAGAAACTGATTCCTTAAGCTGTCACCACTGCCTCCTGGGGTCTGCATTAGCAGGAAGCTGGAATCAGGAGCTAGAATCACAGCTGGAGCCAGGAATGGAACCCAGGCTCTGCTGTGGCATGCCAGTATCCTAAGCAGCATTTGAATCATGGAGCTGAAAGTGCACCTTGATGATCATAAGTTCTAATTGTCCAGTCATCATTCAGTGAGCAAGCAGCTGGATCAGTTTATTTTACCATGCCCCTTTTGTGGCATAAAAGTTGTTACATATTTTTTTTTTTAGCATAAGTAATTCTGGAGTCAACTTCTTGGCATATAGCTGCCAATATTTTGGAAGCTATATATTGAAAGGTATGATATTATCCACATCAAAGAACTTCAGTATTTGTTACTTTGTACTTTTACCAATGTGCTTTCCAGAATTTGTACCATTTTACTCTGTCTTTTTTTGCATTATATGAGAGTGTTAATTTTGTTTCATTCCTATCAACCAGACATATCATTAAAATCTTTCTCTTCTCCAAAAATTCAGTTTTACTTGAAAGGCAGAATTAGAGAAAGAGACAGAGATCCATCACATATCCAGTGGTTCCCTCCTCAAATGAACAGAATGGCAGTGGCTGAGCCAGGCCAAAGCCTCATCCAGGTCTCTCAAGTGGATACAGGAGTTCAGGGATTTGGCCCATCCTCTCTTGCTTTCCCAAATTGCATTAGCAGGGAGCTGGATTAGAAGTGGGACAGCTGGGATTTAAACTGGTACCCATATGGGATACTGGCATCACAGGCAAGGACTTAAGCCACTACCCCGCAGTCCCAGTGCCCCCTCCCATGCGATTTTTTTAAAAAAAGATTTATTTATTTGTATTGCAAAATCAGCTATACAGAGAGGAGAGACAGAGAGGAAGATCTTCTGTCTGATGGTTCACTCCTCAAGTGACCACAATGGCCAGTGCTGCGCCAATCCAAAGCCGGGAGCCAGGAGCTCTTCTGGGTCTCTCACACGGGTGCAGGATCCCAAGGCTTTGGGCCATCCTCGACTGCTTTCCCAGGCCATAAACAGGGAGCTGGATGGGAAGTGGAGCCACCAGGATTAGAACCGGTTCCCATATAGGATCCCTGCGCATTGAAGGTGAGGACTTTAGCCGCTAGGCCACCACGCTGCCCCACCCCCCGTCCATGCATTTTTAACCACTAGAAAAACTGAATAATTTTGCATATGTGTATATATATATGTATATATATACATATTGTAGTTTTATGTGCCTCTGTTAAATTTGCTTTTTGATACTATTTTGCTTTAGATGTCTATTTGATGCTAAAATGTGGCCAAGAACTTTATAATCCCAGTATCCCAAGATGGGAGGGGACCTCTCAAAACATGAGCAAATTAAATTTTGGAGGAAAAAACTGCCAGTAAACTGGTGAAGGTTTTATTTTCTGTAGATTAGGGTGCAAATTTCAAGGGTCATGAGTGGGTTGGCGAGACCAGGAGGGCAGGAGCTTTTGACCTTCCTAGGATGTGTAACTATGAGGCTAATACGAAAGAGGACAACTCTTGGGCTTTCCAAGAAGACATATTGCTGCTTCTAATATGCCTGCATCAGACTCATTAAGGATTTCTGGTGTCCTTTGTGGACGTCTGGAATTCCTAGTCATGAGGGGATTTGCGTTCTTTGTCTTGTGAAACCATTCTAGAAAGAAAAAGATGACAAATGGAAAAGAGGGAGTGAATCAGTCCCAGAGAAAAAAATGGAGCCTGTTGTTTTCGAGAAAGTGAAAATGGTAAGTGGGAAATATATGCATTGTGGTGAGGATGTTGGGTATGTTTATATAGGGATGGGGGAGGAGAGGGGATTTCTAGTCTTGTGGGGGCAGGTGGTTACAGTGTTGCACTATTGCATTGCCTGTTGGTTTTCCCTGCTTTTTTTTCCCCATTGTTGCTGCCTAATTTGCTCTGTAACACTTCTTTTTGGAGCCAGATGGGAGCTTGGGCACTACATCTGTCCCTTCTAAGTTAGAGGCACATTCCAGGCCAGAATGCCAAGGCTGTATGACAGTTTCTGAGCACAGACTACCTCACAGGAGTCCTTCTCTTGTCAGACCTTCTGTGCTTCAGTTTCCCATTGCAGTTAAACCCAGTACTCATTCATCCATGTTAAAGAATCCCATCTTGTGGTCTGGCTTTGTGATTTTGTCATGATGAAACAGACACTTTCCTTCCCCCACAGTACCTAGTGTAGTGGCGGGTACTCTAATAACTTGCAGGCTCAGGAGAAGGTGACATTTTACTGCTGCTGAAGGAAGAGTCTTTTGTCATCCCTTTTAAATCACATTGTCTGCAGACACAATCACTGGAGTAGTGGACAGAGTGACTTCCATAACTTCCATAATCTAACCTGATTTCCTTTGGGTGTTAAAGTAGGGAGATTTGTTGGGTCTTGACTCTCATGCCATCAGAAAGCCACATTTTGTTCTTGATTTTTCCCGCTGCTTCTGTTGGGTCTTCTGATCTGTGGCTGTCTTGGTCTTCAGAAAGCCAGGCAGGCCCAGACGGTGTTGTTTCTTTTTGGAGGTTTTGGGCACTCTGGTCTCCCGACTGACCCTTTCATCTGAGACGTTCCTAGTTCTGTTTCTTTAGTGACTGTGCTTGGGTAACAACATCTCCACCCCAAGGACACCTGTGGCTTTACAGGGCAGCAGGCAGAGGTTTCACAAACACCTGATTATTTCTTTCTGCAATGTTTTTTCACTCTAGCCACAGAAAAAAGAAGATCCACAGCTACCTCGGAAAAGCTCCCCGAAATCCACGGCACCTGTCATGGATTTGTTGGGTCTTGGTAAGAGTCAGACTTCTCAATTCCTGTATTCATGCAAACATTGATGGATTTGCAGTGAGCCCCGGAAGGCAGGGAGACACAGGATTCTCTAGCGTCTGTCTTCACAGATTGTTCTCTCATGTTCTTCCTGTTGTGTTTCACATCTGAGCAGTTGCTCCAAGTGTTTCCTGGGACATTTGTCAGTGTGATAGTGTTGTGTCGTGGTAAAGAACATGGCCTTTGGAGCAGAATCCCAGCTGCACCACTTCCTGAGTGAGCTGGAGTCATTTACTTGTATATTTGCTGAGCTATGCAGTGACGATAAGCAACTTTATCTCAGAAGGGTTGTCTGAAAGACTCAAACTCACAGTCCTATGTCTGGCACATGCTAAACCCTCAATAAATTTTGCTAAATCTAGCACCTTGGAGCCTTATACTACTTCCCTATGTTCCACTCCCTTTGAATTTCAAGTACAGCCAGCTGCTTTGCTTGCTTGCTTGCTTGTTTTCTTTCTTTCTTTTTTTTTTTTTCTTAAGATTTATTTATTTATTTGGAAAGCAGAATTAGAGAGAGAGCTTCCATCCGCTGGTTCACTCCTCAGATGGCTATCATGGCCAGATCTGGACCATTTCAGAGCCAGGAGCTTCTTCCGGGTCTCTCATGTGAGTGCAGGGGCCCAAGGACTTGGGCCAGCCTCCACTGCTTTCCCAGGCACATTTCGCAGGGAACTGGATCAGAAGTGGACTGGAACCAGTGCTTATATGGGATGGCAGCACTCTAGATGGTGATTTTACCCCTTATGCCACAGTGTCAGACCTGAACCTGTTGCTAAGATGGCCTGTTACCTTGTGGTCTTTCCTTCTTTGAAGCCATGAAGTAATAATTCTGCCCCATTGGGAAGAAAGTCTCTTCCACTTCCACAGTGCTGGAGTGCTGGTGGTTTATACCTCTGCTGAGTTGGGTTGCTGGCTTTGTAGGCTTTTAATTTTTGTACTTTTCATTTCTCTTTGCTAGTGAATCTGAAACACCTTGCCCTTCAAGTAGCCCGAAGGGAGTTCACCTGTCCCCAGCTATGGTGCCACCATAGCCTTCAGGCATGAGCTTTGATTGTCCTATGCTGGCTGGCTGGGCCTCAGGCCTTCCCAGAGTGCTCTTGGGAATGTGGCCTCTTGAAGCAGTGCCATCCAGCTGGGTGACTTATAAACCTTAAATTTCTGGGTCCATGATCGACTATGTGAGCTTTCTGTGCTTTATTACTGCTATAAGACGTGTGCTCCATGAGCAATGGTACATTTTTAATTTTGGACTTTTCTCAGATGCTCCCGTGGCTTCCTCCATGGCAAACAGTAAGACCAGCAATACCCTAGAGAAGGATTTAGATCTTTTGGCCTCTGTTCCGTCCCCTTCTTCAGTTTCCAGAAAGGTAAGTCTTATGGGCTCCTCAGAATTCAAGAACATTCTGGAATGAAAATGATTTGAATAACTTCATCGTCAAGCCAAATCATGCTTTGTTGGTGGAGTTGGCCTTTGCTTTTTCTTAATTTCTCCCTGTCATCTCTGCCATAGCCCAAGATGATTGGCTATAACCATTTTGTTTCTGCCCAGAAAGGGTGGACCCCTTAGGTAGGTGTCCATCAGAGGGGTGTCCTATTGTAAAGCCTGATGCTTTATGTCAGCTCCTTAGCCTGAGTTACTGCAATAAAGAAAGAAATAGAGACAAAAATCTCCCATCTGCAGCTTTAGTTCCTAAATTTCTACAGCTGCTCCAGGCCAAAGCTAGGGACCAAGAAGGCAGGGATACAACCACTGAGCTGTCACCTGCTGCCTCCCAGTGTGTGCATTCACAGGCAGTTGGAACTGGGAGAAGTGCAGGACTGGTACCCCGGTGCACATTCTAGTATGGACTGAGTGTCCCAAGCAGCGTCTTAAAAACTTTTAATAACTGCTATCTGTGAATGGCTTGCAACATGCGAGAAGAGTGCCAGGTAGTTTTTATGTATCATTTCATCTGTTTCACTAATAATTTTAAGTCTTTACCTCAATCTCATAAAATGGAATTTTACACATGAGGAAATACTAGTTTAGAAAATTTATGTCTGGATATATAGCTAATAAAATGGTACAACAAGGCCCTAAACTCAGTTCTCTCTGCAGCATTATTTTCATGGATTGTTTCATTTACTTGGTTTTTTTGTTTGTTTATTCTGACCAAATCACATTGGCTTGAAGAAAAATAAAGAACTATGTCAGAGTTTAACCATTAAGTATCTTCAAATATTTATATAGTAAAAAACAGCAGGAAGCTACTAACTTGAGCCGTGAATTTCTTCCTTGAGGACTGTTCCAATTCTCCTGTCCTCTTCACTCCAAGGTTGTAGGTTCCATGCCAACTGCAGGGAGTGCCGGCTCTGTTCCAGAAAACCTCAACCTGTTTCCAGAGCCAGGGAGCAAATCCGAAGAAGTGGGCAAGAAACAGCTCTCTAAAGACTCTATCCTCTCTCTGTATGGATCCCAGACGCCGCAGATGCCTGCTCAGGGTAGGTGCCACGGGCCCGTGGCCATGTGTCAAGAGAGGCATGAGGACTTCCATGCTGCAAATACCTGTTGTGTCAGAGGACAGTTACTCTAGGGGCGAGGAGGTCAGATGTCAGACCACCCTGAACATGACTTTTCTCATGAAACCATAAAAGTGTCAGCAGATAAATATTAATGTCACTTGCAACCAGCCTTCTGTGAGGGCAGGTGTCACATCTCTGTGAAACCTGGTTAAAAACTGGGGTCTGGACCCTAAAGGGGAAGTGGTTAAGTCAGTGGTCCACTGGTAAATGTTAGCAAGTGTGGTGGACAATCTCTTTAGCTGCTTTGCTGGGCAAAAGAGCATTCTGAGTTCTGCAGTCCTGAAAAATTCTAGCTGGAAAGATGTAGCCAGAAGGAGTTTGGGCCAACTTCATTTCTCTTCCTCTTTAATATACGTCTGTGTTTTCTTGGCAGCAATGTTCATGGCTCCAGCTCAGATGGCATATCCTGCAGCATATCCCAGCTTCCCTGGGGTCACACCTCCTAGCGGCATCATGGGGGGCATGATGCCCCCACCAGTAGGCATGGTAGCTCAACCAGGAGCGTCTGGAATGGTTGCCCCCATGGCCATGCCTGCAGGCTACATGGGTGGCATGCAGGCATCAATGGTGGGCGTGCCGAATGGGGTGATGGCCACCCAGCAGGCTGGCTACATGACAGGAATGGCAGCTATGCCCCAGACTGTGTATGGGGTTCAGCCCACTCAGCAGCTGCAGTGGAACCTCACTCAGGTAAGCTTTCCCGTTCTGCTAAGATGAAGAGTTCTGTGCTTTCTTTCTGCTGGCTCACTCCCCACACGGCTGCAACAGAGCTGATCTAAAGCTAGGCAGGAGGCCTCTTCTGGGTCTCCCTCGCAGGTGCAGGGTCCCAAGACTTTGGGACATCTTCCAACTGCTTTCTCAGGACACTAGCAGGGAGCTGGATTGGAATTGGAGCAGCTAGGACACAAACCAGTACCCATATGGGATCCTGGCGCTTGGAAGTGAGGGCCTGGTTAATTGAGCCATCGCGCCAGCCCCTCTGTGGCTTGCTGTTATTCCTTGTCTCTGTGTAGATGAGCTGATGCCAGAGACATTCTTGGGTATGCACTGTCCTCCTGGAAAGACCCTCTACAGTGGACTTTCTAAGGAGTTTCAGGTTCCTGTAGAACAGATTCACTGCCTAAATCTGACTGCATGCCTTCTCAAAACCAAAAACCATCTCTGTGCACAAACAAGGAATGCAACTATGACCAACCCTGAACCATGCTACCACATCTAGTAGACAGAATACTAATCACTTTCAAATGATATGACACCCAAATCCAGCAGAGTCAGCGTCAGAGAGGAGGCCCTGGGGAAGGAGGAGACAGTGGGGGTGGGGCCCACCATGTGGAAGAGAAAGATCTACCCTGAGAGAAGACACATCTCAAGACAGGAGCTGAGACCTGCTGTATTGGAACTCTGGTTACTTGGGATCAGAAGCAAGGTGCTTGAGGCCGGCTTGTGGAACAGCAGGTTTCAGGTGTGGAAAATTCTCCCCGTGAAACTAGGCAGGAAGCAGCAGAAAATGTCAATAGTCCACTGGCCTGAATTAACTGTATGGCTTTCTCAGACAAGCAAAACAGCTTAAATCATTAATTTAAAAATGTGGAGCCAAAATGGGCAGGAAAACTACTAGACTCAGGAAGGAAGCTGAAGACCAATTTATCTTTAAAGAAAACACTGAACAACAAATTAGCCAGAAGAGAATAGATTCAAGTGGAAACATATGTGACATGTGGAAAGGCATGAAACAGGCAACAGGATGGAAAACAAATATACACAAAAGAATCAGAGATTAATATAGAAGAGAGGCAAAGAAAGCCTAACATGACAGATATTTGGAGACGTTGAAAGAGGTGGGAAACAAACTTCACAGGATGGAGTTCATACAGTTAAGACCGTCATGCAAAACTTTCTAGAAACGTAACATCGGAAGCATTTGGAGGCAGCAGATAGATGATGGCTTGACTGCTTGAGTCCCTGCCACCATGGGTGGAGTTCCTGGCTCCTGGCTTTGGCCTGGCCCATCATTAGATGTTCCAGCATTTGGGAAGTGAGCTAGCAGATAGATCTCTCTTTTGCCCTGTCTTCCAAATAAATGAGCAAATAATTTTTTAAAAAAACAAATAATCATAGTTAATGAATTGTAGCACATTGAACAAAGACCCATGAATACCTAGGAGTATATATATATATATATATTTTTTTTTTAATTAAGTGTTGAATAGAGAGAAAAGTCTTCCTGAGAAAATAATAACAGTTAACACTTGAGGGGCCCAGTGCAATGGCTTAGTGGCTAAATCCTCACCTTATAAGCGCTAGATCCCAAATGGGTACAGGATCATCTTCTAGCCACTCCACTTCCCATTCAGCCCCCTGATTGTGGCCTGAGAAAGCAATAGAGGATGGCCTAGCCTTGGAACACTGCACCCACATGGGAGACCAGGAAGAAGATCTTGGTTCCTGGCTTTGGATCAGCTCAGCTCCAGACATTATGGCCATTTGGGAAGCAAAACCAGTGAATGGATGCTTTTTCTCTGTCTCTCCCTTTCTCCATAAGGTCTGATCTGCTTTTCCAATAAAAATAAATAAATCTTAAAACACACACACACACACACAGTTAACACTTGAAGAAGCAGGATATGTATACATTTTCAAAGAAATATCCTCTGAATTACATATTACTTACTTTTTTTTTTTGAAAGATTTATTTATTTTTATTGGAAAGTCAGATATACAGAGAGGAGAGACAGAGAGGAAGATCTTCCATCCGATGATTCACTCCCCAAGTGAGCGCAACGGCCGATGCTATGCCGATCCAAAGCCGGGAGCCTCTTCTGGGTCTCCCACGCGGGTGCAGGGTCCCAAAGCTTTGGGCCGTCCTCGACTGCTTTCCCAGGCCACAGGCAGGGAGCTGGATGGGAAGCGGGGCTGCTGGGATTAGAACCGGCGTCCATATGGGATCCCGGGCGTGCAAGGCGAGGACCTTAACCACTGCGCCACCGTGCCAGGCCCTACATATTACTTACAATTAAAAAATAGTATGTCAGGGCCAGTCTTGTGACGTGGTGTGTAAGGCAGTTGCCTGTGATGCCAGTATCCCATTTGGGCACCAGCTCATGTTCCAGCTGCTCCAGTTCTAATCTAGCTCCCTACCAGTGGCCTGAGAAAAGCAATGGAGGATGGACCAAAGCTTAGGTCCCCACACCCACATGAGAGACCCATATGAAGCTCCTGGTTCCAGCCTGGTCCAGTTCTGGCTGATGGAGCAAATGGGGAGTAAACTAACAGATGGAAAATTTTCCTCCCTCCCTCTCTTTAAGTAGCTCTGATTTTTCAAATAAATAAATCAGTCTTAAAAATCAAGTGACAGTTACTACTGCCTACTGATTAAAGGCAAAATTATAAAGTGTGAACTAATTGATGCAGTATGCTTTCTGATACTTTGTATCAGAAAGATCACCTACCATGACTCTTGTCAAAAATGTGCATCTTGAACCCAGTCATGAGGAAACATGAGAGAAAGCCAAAAGATCTGGTCTGACCTTTTATTTTATTTATTTTTAATTAATTTACTTTATTACTTAATAATACAGTTCCCCATAGGTTCTGGGATTTCCCTTCCCCTCTTCCCAAATCCACCGCTTCCCCTCTGATTTCCACTATATCATTTACAATAGTATAATCCTTCATAGACAATCATAAATCCACCTCTTTATTTATTTTAAAGATGTATGTTTGTGGGCCCAGTGCAATAGCATAGTGGTTAAAGTCCTCGCGTTAAACGTGCTGGGATCCCATATGGGCGTCAGTTCTAATCCTGGTGGCCCCGCTTCCCATTCAGCTCCCTGCTTATGGCCTGGGAAAGCAGTCAAGGATGGTCCAAAGCCTTTGGACCCTGAACCTGTGTGGGAGACCCGGAAGAGCTCCTGGCTCCAGGTTTCAGACTGGCTCAGCTCCAGCTGTTGCAGTCACTTGGGGAGTGAACCATCGGACAGAAGATCTTCCTCTGTCTCTCTTCCTCTCTGTATATCTGCCTTTCCAATAAAAATAAATAAATCTTTAAAAAAAAAAAAAAGATGTATGTTTGCATTTGGAAGAGAGAGAGGAAGAGACAGAGATTTTTCATTCTCTGATTCACTCCGCAGTTGACTTCAACAACAGGTGCTGCACCAGGCAGAAGCAAGGAGCCAGGAACATCATTCGGGGTCTCCCATGTGGTTGTCAGGGTCCCAAACACTTGGCCATCTTCTGCAAACCTTTCCCAAACTATTACCAGGGAGCTGGATCAGAAATGTCAAGAAATCAGATACCAACTAGCACCCATATGGAATACTGATGTCCCAGAGGGAAGCTGTACCTGCTACTCATGATATCAGCCCCTCCCTTATCTTACCTCTTTTAAAATGCCTATGTCAAAGGAAAAAGTATTGGGAAACTTTTTTTCCCTTTTTTTAAGGTGTTTTTTATTTGCAAACCAACTAAACATCTTAATATAAAAACCCCTTTGGTACACAAACTACAGTCACAAAGCAGGTGGAAAAGGGACGGTTTCTGGGTCCCCCAGGCATGCTGGCCCATGAATGTGGTCTTGGCAGAGGCCAGGTGTGGACAGCCTGGGGCGGAAGCATCCCTTCCTGCCCACCTGCTGTGTCCCCTGGAAGGAACCAGGTAGCAGATCACAGGAGGGGTCTGTAGCTGAGTGGTGAGGCACCTGCTATTCCTCAGCATCCTGCTGAGAAGGCAGGGCTGCCAGCTGGCAATGGTCTAAAGATCCTGAGAGGAGCAACTGCCACCTCCTCTCTCTCGGGACTCCTTGCCTGGAATACCAGGGGGTTGGGTCTGAGAACGACACAGAATAGTGGAGTCTTGGCCCAGAGTGGGATGGGAGTGATTGAGGGAGCTTGGGGCAAGTTTTCTAAATTAAAGGACACTGAAGAGATGTGACAACAAAATGCAGTGTGATTTAGAATGCTGTCTCAGTTTCTTGAGGATGTTAATTGTGGTTCTAGGAAGGTGTTCATTCTTACAGTTATCACCTGACACATCCAGGGGAGAAGTGCTATGATATCTGCACCTTTGGAGGCTCTTGGAAAAGTTTTTAAAGTTTTTGTAGAGAGACCTTAAAAAAATTAAAAGATGGCAAAGTGTGAACATGGTGAATCTAAGAGGCATATTACTTTCATTATAGAAATTCTCCAACTTCTCTGTAAGTTTAAAATTTTCTGAGGATGTTGGTGGAGAATAGTTACACCTCTTTTTTAAAAAAAGATTTATTTTTTTTTATTGGAAAGGCAGATATACAGAGAGGAGGAGAAACAGAGAGGAAGATGTTCCATCCATTGGAAATTCCCCAAGCGGCCGCAATGGCTAGAGCTGAGCCAATTCGAAGCCAGGAACCAAGAGCCTCTTCCAGGTCTCCCACGTGGGTGCAGGGTCCCAAGGCTTTGGGTCATCCTCCACTGCTTTCCCAGGCCACAAGCAGGGAGCTGGATGGGAAGCGGGGCCACCGGGATTAGAACCCAGAAACCATATGGGATCCTGGTGCATGCAAGGTGAGGACTTTAGCTGTTAGGCCATCATGCCAGGCCCGTTACACCTCTTCTTAAAGAAGAATGTGTCCAGAGAATGTTCTAGGTTCACGAAGTTTTCAGGAATTTTTCCTGCTTTCCTTTCATTGCCAGGGAGTGGTCTTTTAGTCTGGTTCATGAAGTGCCTCCCCCATAACCCCGGGCCACTTCTTTTGGCCCTCCTCTGTTCATTCCCTTTCCCCACTGCTTGTGCGCCTGCAGGAGGCGGGAGCAGGGGTGGGGGGTTTTTTTTTTTGGACCCCTGCCTTTGCAAATGAGCGGCTGGAAGGGAGGAGGAGAGGCACTACTCCTGCTATGCTGTTGGCTGTACCTTGGGGTTTATCTCTAGGCACCATTGCACTCTCCGGCACTCCTCCCACTTCTGGTCTTGTATCATCAAAACCATCTGACCATTCAGGGCTTTTTCCCTTTGTCTTATCCTCACCTCACTTGTGGACAGTGGAACCCCTGCCCCGCCTCTGCCAACCATGGCCGAGTGCCCATGGCCAGGCTGAGCACTTCCTGTCTCCCTTTCAGATGACACAGCAGATGGCCGGGATGAACTTCTATGGAGCCAACGGCGTGATGAGCTATGGACAGTCCATGAGCGGTGGAAACGGACAGGCAGCAAATCAAACTCTCAGCCCACAGATGTGGAAATAAACGCACAACCCCCCCATGTGGCTGCCACTCACCTCGGCCTGCGCACTCTCCCATTCTCCTCTTTCCTCCACCTTGCTTTCCCTCATACCCCTTTCCTCCCTCTCTCTGTTTGGTTTATTAATTGCTCGGTCAGTCCCTGGAGCCACTCCAGGACACCACGACCTGCAGCCCTCTCTGTTGCTCTCTGTTGTAGGTGTCTTTCCACCACCCCCTTCTCCCCAGCCTCGGCCCCTCCCCCCTCTCCTGGCACCAGCACCTTAGAAGGGGTTGGCAGAAGGCATTTAAGCTGCAGGAGAGATGTGCACCCCTGTGAGTTTCCCTCCCTCAGGGCCACGCCTCCTGCCAGACTCCCAGAGAGGCCTGTGGGTGTGGCGAGGCGAGGGCTCGGAAGTGCCTGCACACATGGTGATAAGCTGTTGCCGGGTGTCTCAGCTTGTGCTTGAAGCAGCAGGCATTACCGTGCCTGTGACTGAGGGGACTGAGGAAGGTACACACGGAAATCCAACACTCCCCGGGTCTTGGGTCAGGCCGGCCCTGGCCCTGGGATGAGGCAAGCCCTTTTCCTACGTGGACGAGCAAAAATATTTCTCTGCTGTGCCTGGAGTTGCTTTCTCCAGCTGGGGCTTCAGAACTCGCTGCTCAGTCAGCCTTTATTAGCACCAAAGACTTTGTGAAGGTCCCACCCACGGACAGGCACCTGCTCCCCACCTCCCACCTGCTGCCTTCGGCAGGATCTGGCCTCGTGGCTGGAGGCCAGAACCCTGCTGTGGGAACGCACAGCTTTAACATGTGCACTACGTGTGCGTGAGTGTGTGTGCGCAAGTGTACGTACGTGTGGATCCTGCCTCCTGCCACTCCCCACCTGCTCTGGGTATTCTGGTTTTTGTTTTATTGGTTTTAGATTAACAACAGAGAGGAGTTAATTTATCAATAGTCTAAAGCTGTTGCCAGTTTTTCTTACACTTTGAAAAAAAATAAATAACCGCCATCTCACTGTTAGGCCCCTCTGTCCTCTCGCTCCTCCCCCATCTGCCCAGCACTCTTCCATGCCTGTGTACCCAGGCTGCTCTGTCTCCGCATCTGCTCAGGTGTGTGAGGCCTAGAGCCCGGGCAGCTTTTTTCTCAGTCGTCGTCCACTTGAAAATTCAAACAAGAAACTTTGCTTCAGAGGTTTCATGTGTGGGAACCACATTCCCGGATGCCTTTCTCCTGTGTATGTGTAAATTCCTTAATAAATATTGCAGGGAAGGACTGCTTGTGTGGCTGGTGCTGTGCATCCTTCTTGGAGGAGAGCAGCTCACGTTGGATGGTCAGTTGCTTCACTTCTCACATTTTATGAGTCATCAAAAAGGGGCTCTTTCTCCAGGGGTGCCTTAGGGTTGGGTGCTGAGGGGCCTGTGGAGATCTATACTTGTGAGAGACACAAAACACACTGTCCCCAACACACATACACAGAGATGGAGAAGTGGAGACCCAGAGAGAGGAAGCAGTTGGCTCCTGGAGGGCCCTTGGCAGAGCCAGCAGTGGGCTCCAAGGCTTCCAGCCTCAGGCTCTGTCCCTGTACTGTGACATTTGTACATATTCCTCTCTGCCAGGAGAGCAGGAGGTCTGCTGGTAAGTTGGGTAGTGCAGCCCTCTGTGAAATGCTAATTTGTCAGGAGGGGTAGGAGCTGGGCCTTCTGTCAGACTGAATACCCCACCTGGGGGTCATGTGAAGAACAAGAGGTGAATAATCTGGTCCATTTTCTCCTGTTCTCATCAGAAGGGACTCGGGGGGCATCTCCTCCCCTTCTCTTTCCTTTGAGTGCTTAACATATGGGATCAAGAGACTAATAGTACAGTGGCTAAGAAAATGAGCTGTGTAAGAGGCTGCTGGTATTCACATCCCATCTTGGGACTCAGGCAAGTAACTGAACCTCTGGGTCTCAGCGTGAAATGAGGCTAACAGGAACACTTAGAATGATTAATTCCAGTCTACAGTTACTGAGCGCTCCACTGGTAGCAGGTGTTACATGCCAGACCTACGTGAGCCGTGAATTTATCTCACAGATATTCAGTAAGTGTTTATGGTGTACCCAGAATTGCTTCTGATTCTGTTGATTGAGCAATGAAACACTCCACCAAGCTCATGGCTGGTATGATAGGAGCACTGGACAATAAATGTGAATAAATGGACTTAAATTTCAGAGAGTGAGAAGACAAAAGGTGAGAATGACTCCACGACCATTTGGATGGAGTTGTCAGGAAGAGCCAGTGAGGTAGAGATCTGGAAAAGGAGCCGGATACATTTGAGCGTCGGTGGTGCAAGTGTTGGCAAGTCATCAGAGCGGGACCAGGCAGATCCACCCAAGGAGAAAGCCTTGGAACCTGTCAGCTTTTACAGTTTGAGAAGATTCAAGGAGTCTCATATATAACTCCTGCTCTGAAGAACCTTACAGTCTTACAGAGCAGCACATTTGTCATGTCTTCCACAGTGGGTGGTGGGGACACCCAGGCCAGAACAGTGGCATCTGAGCTGAGAGGTAAAGGAAGGGATAAGGAGAGTTCCTTCCGATAGATAATGCCATGGGTGCAAAGAGAGCTGTGAGAGCACAGGACCTGGGGACACATGCACTCTGGTGTTTCTGAAGTGAGATGTGGGTCAGGGTGACAGGTGAGACAGAGCTGGAGTGGGACCACATTGTCAGGGTGGCAGGCATTCTACACCCTAAGAAGACTTCAGTATGAAGCATGAAGGGTGCAATGGCAACAGGATCGAACTCATGGCATTTCACCCTCGAATTGCCATGTCGGAGGAAACAAGACAGGAGCTAGAGACTAGAGAAATGGCCTGTAACTGAAGATGAAGGAGAACCATGGTGGTGAGGAGTGGAGTGGTCTCAACCAGGAATCCATGAGCCGACTAGGCAGCAAGTGAGATGCTGAAAGATGTTGCCCAGAAATGCTAAACTAATTAGGGACTGCATACTCTCTCACCTCTTGTATGTCTACAGCACAAGATCTATATAGAAATAGCTCCAAGAGGTCCTACAGCATGAAGGTTTCCATCGTATCCTAGCATCCACCAACACGAGGGACGTCACTTTTCTGGAATATCTAATAATTGCAGAATATTGCTTAGGAATAGCAGCTAGAAGAACACTTTAGGATGCAAGGTTGAAAGCTCTCAGCAGCAAGTGAAAAGTAAATGGAGAGAGGAAAAAGTCATATTTCACATGTTTCTCAAGTACTTGGAAGAATCTACAAGAGGACTTTTCTTCTTGGGAGAGAAGTGGATAATTGACAGCTTGGCTTTAGGCATGTTGAACCAGTTGGCAGTTCAGAGCCAGCATCCCTTGTCAGAGCACCAGCTCCACTCCCAGATGCTTTGGTTCTACCTGCTGCTGCACCTGGGAGGGCATCAGAAGGTCCAAGGGCTTGGGCTCCCACCATCCATGTAGGAGACCTAGATGGAGTTCTAGGCTCTCAGCTTTAGACTAACTCAGCCTGGGCCATTGCAGCTGTTTGGGCAGTGAGTCAGCAAATGGAAGATACCTATCACTCTGTCTCCCAAATATACACACACACATATATATATATGTGTACACATACATATTTTTAAATGTGAATATAATAGTCTGAAGTGCAAAGAAAAGGTAGGTGCTAGAAAAATTAATTTGGGAGTTAGCCCCATGGAGTTAATACCATAGAAGTGGATTGATTCACATTGAGTAGATTTGTAAAAATAAAAGCAGTGGGATCCATACCCGCTTTTCCCTAACCCTTGATCCATCCCACGTTGATCAACTATGTTAACATCATCTAAAATTAAAACTAAATTTTTTTAAAAAGTCAGTGGAATGGAGACAGAACCTTGAGATTCTGGAAGCAGCAGCAGATAGTGGTTGGGTCCCCGTTACACATGTCAGAGACTTGGATTGTATTCCTAGCTCCCAGCTTTGGTCAGGCCCAGACCTGTGTGTGTGTGTGTGTGTGTGTGTGTGTGTGTGTGTGTGTGTGTGTGTGTGTGCTGGGGACAGTGTGTGTATGTGGTGTGTGTGTTTCTCAAATTTAAAAAACTCATGAAATTACAACATGAGGAACACCTAGGGAATAGAATACCAGGAAGGAGGGATGATCCCAAATGTAAAATCATCAAGCAAATCCAGTGAGGTAAGTACTCATAAAAGGACTTACTCATATACTATTAGATGGAACATAAAAAACAAGTACCCACTAGCAAGGTATGAGAGATTTCTCTGCAACACCCCCCAAAATTGTTACACACCTCAATTGAGGAGGTGACATTGAAATAGTGGTAGAAGGTAATCAAGAACTTACATGTAATTTTTACAAATTGTCTACTCAACACTATGTCAGACATCTAATGTTCGCCTGGATTTAACCTGTAACTTATGCTGGGTTGAATGTTACTTTTCGGAACCTGTCACTGATACTGTCTAAACCCAGAGGTGTGGAAGAATTGAACTTTTTTTTTTTTTTTTTTTTTAACGTATTGTTCACTTAACACTATACCAATTAACCCATAACATTGTATATCGACGCTGATGTTTTGTTGGGGGTTTTAACTTACCGGAACTTTACTCTGTTGGCTCTACCCTCAGACCAGAGAAGGTCTCCCCAAGAGGCCACTGAACTTATCTGGACAATAGGACGCTGGACTTTATGCTGGGTACATGCCCACAATGCAGGAATTTCAACGGAACTTGAACTGTGGTTATGCAACAAGATGGAGCAATCCACTATGGGAGGAGGGGTGTGGGAGGGGCGGGGGGACTCCCCAATGCTTATAAAACTGTTTCACATAATACAATGTTAATAAAATTTATTAAAAAAAAAAAAAAAAAAGGACTGTTGGACTCAGCATGGGGAAATTCTGCAGCAGTTTCAGTGGAAAGGTAGGGCCAGAAGCCAGATTACGGAGGGTTGAAAAGAGAAGTAAAGTAGTTGAAAAATTAGTGAAAAGGGCTCTATTAAAGATAAACGGCGGGCCCGGCAGCATGGCCTAGCAGCTAAAGTCCTCGCCTTGAACGTGCCAGGATCCCATATGGAGGCCGGTTTTAATCCTGGCAGCTCCACTTCCCATCCAGCTCCCTGCCTGTGGCCTGGGAAAGCAGTTGAGGACGGCCCAGAGCCTTGGGACCCTGCACCCATGTGGGAGGCCTGGAAGAAGTTCCTGGATCCTGGCTTCGGATCAGCATAGCACCGGCCGTTGCACTCACTTGGGGAGCAAATTATCAGACGAAAGATCTTCCTCTCTGTCTCTCCTCCTCTCTGTACATCCGACTTTCCAGTGTAAAAATAAAGTAAATTAAAAAAAGAAAAAGATAAATGGCAAGGTTTTAAGGTTTACTCATTTTTAGATTTTGTTTTTTCTACTTCTATGTGGGAGGGTAAGGATGATGGCTCAACTGGCTAATCCTCTGCCTGCAAGCACTGGCATCCCATATGGGCTCTAGTTTGTGTCCCAGCTGCTCCATTTACCATCTAGTTCCCTGCTTATGACCTGGAAAAGCAACAGAGGATGGCCCAAAGCGTTGGGACTCTGTGCCTGTGTGAGAGACCCCCAGAAGAGGTTCCTGGCTCCTGGCTTCAATCAGCTGTGCTCCTGCCATTGTAGCCATTTGGGGGGTGAAACAGCAAATTGAAGATCTTTTTCTCTGTCTCTCCTTCTCTTATTCTACATTTCCAATAAAAATAAATCTTAAGATTATTTGGAGCTGGGCCCATCTCCTATGCGTGTACAGGGGCTCAAGGCCTCAAGCTATCCTCTGCTGCTTTCTCAGGCCATAAGCAGAAAACTGGATTGGAAGTGGTGCCCTTGGTACTAGACCTGGTGCCCACACATGAGATGGCAGCATTGCAGACAGAAGCTTAGCCTATTATGCCATGGTACTGTGCTGGGGTCCGTGCGGTAGGTGTGGATGGCACGAAGGTGTGAAGAGAACAGCTCCCCTGTTTGCAGGGCTCGGGGGAGCTTCCAGCTGTTTGGCAGGGCCCGGCGTATTTCTCTCTGACCACCCTGACGCTGTTTCACCCCCTGGCTGCATGGACACTCAAGCACCCCACTAAGAATTCTGTATTCTTTTGAGGCATTGTTGTTCACCTCTGTGAGACAGTTTTTGCAGGTTTTTGCAACCGATGTGAGCTTGAGAGTCAATGTCACTGATAATGTCTTGGTGAGTGGGCCTTTGACAATTTACACACAGGAGCACAATTAAGCCCGTGCCATTTTTGGACACCTTATTGTGTGCTAATTATTGCCTCAGAATCTGGCCCAGACATATAGCGCACCTTCTGGGAAGGGGCTTGAAAATATCCTAAATATTAATACAAGTGATGGGAGTGAGAGCTGAAACCGCTATGGCAATAGATACAGTTATTGTTATCTCAAAGACTAGCCTGTCTTTGCAATTTTTTTGGAACATAGAAAATGTAATTGTTTTAGCTGCTTTTATAATTTTTAGCTAGAGGAATTAAGGATGCTTTTATTAAAGAAAAATGCTTTTGATTATTGCTTTATTGTTTATGGGGTTGTAGGGGTCTGTAGTTGTAGGGGGATTTAACATTTTAAGTTCTGTTTTAGATTTTAGGTTTTTTCCTTTATAACCTATTTTCCCATTAAATGATGGGTAAATTGTAGAAGTAAAAATGTGGTGGGAAAGTACTACTGATTAGTAGATAATCACATGTGCCTTGGCCTTGGAGTCCTGGCTGTTGCTCCATGGCTACTGTTGAAGAATAAACAATAGCTTGCTTTGAAGAATATGAATACAGTATTTTGCAAAATTATCTTTAGGAGCACCTGCTTAGCCTTGAAGTGCAGACGGAATGACCAAATGTCTGTACATGCCCCCTTAATTTTGAAAAGAAAAAAATAGAATAGTTGCTTGTGCAGAAGCTTGAGAAGGGTTTTGAATAAATAAAAAGGACAGTTTCTTTCTGAGTTGTTGTGAGAATGCACCAAATGCCTGTGTCTGTGTCTTTCTTTATCGCCGACTCCACGCACCCTTCCCGAGCTCCGAACTCGGCTGGAGCTGGACTCCGGCAAGTGGCGCCCAACGTGAGGGCTCGAGGAAGGTAAGTCTTTTCTCTTGTTCTCTGCGGCGTGGATAGGACTTCACCCAGGGTGCTGCAGGCCCCCTGACAGAAGGTCAGGTTAGGAGGGGTG